CCAACTATGGGAGACAAATCCGGACAGATCACATCACCGGCTGATCTGGAAGGAATTTATGTGCAAATTCTGGTGGCAAATAAGTATTTGGTGAATATGAAAAGGTCATCTCAGTACTTTGTTATATCTCCTTTGTTGGCAATGACAGAGGTCACACGTGTCCTGTACGTGTTCACAAGGTTGGCACACACTGTTGCTGGTATGTTGGCCCATTCCTCCATGCAGATCCCCGTTCCTCCATGCAGATCCCCGTGTCTCCATGCAGATCCCCGTGTCTCCATGCAGATCCCCGTGTCTCCATGCAGATCCCCGTTCCTCCATGCAGATCCCCATTCCTCCATGCAGATCTCCTCTAGAGCAGTGATGTTTTGGGGCTGTCGCTGGGCAAAGGTTTTCTATGGGGTTGAGATGTGGAGACTGGCTAGGCCACTCCAGGACCTTGGAATGCTTCTTAGGAAGCCCCTCCTTCGTTGCCCGGGCGGTATGTTTGGGATCATTGTCATGTTGAAAGACCCGGCCACGTTTCATCTTCAATGCCCTTGCTGATGGAAGGAGGTTTGCACTCTCAGGTTACATGGCCCCATTCATTCTGTCCTGTACACAGATCAGTCGTCCTGGTCGCAGAGAAACAGCCCCAAGCATGATGTTGCCACCGCCATGCTTCACAGTAGGTATGGTGTTCTTTGGATGCAACTCAGCATTCTCTCTCCTCCAAACACGACGAGTTGTGTTTCTACCAAATAGTTCTATTTTGGTTTCCTCCGACCATATGACATTCTCCCAATCCTCTTCTGGATCCTCCAAATGCTCTCTAGCAAACCTCAGACCCGGGGCCCGGACATGTACTGGCTTAAGCAGGGGGACACGTCTGGCACTGCAGGATCCGAGTCCCTGGCGGTGTAGTGGGTTACTGATGGTAGCCTTTGTTACGTTGGTCCCAGCTCTCTGCAGGTCAGTCACTAGGTCCCCCCGTGTGGTCCTGGGACCGTTCTTGTGATCATTGTGACCCCGCGGGGTGAGATCTTGCGTGGAGCCCCAGATGGAGGGAGATTATCAGGGGTCTTGTATGTCTTCCATGTTCTCATTATTGCTCCCACACACCAAGCTGCTTCCCTATTGCAGAGTCAGTCTCCCCAGCCTGGGGCAGGTCTACCATTGTGTTCCTGGTCCTTCCACAGCTCTTTGGTCCTCACCATAGTGGAGTTTGGAGTGTGACTGTCTGAGGTTGTGGACAGGTGTCTGTTATACTGATAACACGTTCCATCAGGTGCCACTGACACAGGTAATGAGTGCAGGACAGAGGAGCCAGAAGGAGGTCTGCGAGAGCCGGAAGGAGGTCTGCGAGAGCCGGAAGGAGGTCTGCGAAGCCTCGTTCTGAGGCCACTCTAGAGATCACATGACCTTCCTCCAGGAGTCAAGCCTCGTTCTGAGGTAACTCTAGAGATCACATGACCTTCCTCCAGGAGGCAAGCCTCGTTCTGAGGCTAGTCTAGAGATCACATGACCTTCCTCCAGGAGGCAAGC